GATTTTATATTAGTTACTTTCATTGATATGACCACAACATCTTGTAAGGACAACTTGAGGAGGGAAATGTTTATTTTGGCTCATAGTTCGAGGAGACAGAGTCCATTATGGTGGGGAAGGCATGTGGCAGGGGCCTGATCACAGTCAGAAAAGGTGGCAGAGGACGAATGCTGGTGCTAGCAGCTTTCTCTTTTTCATCCAGAGACCCTAGCCCACGGGATGGTTCTATCCACATTCAGGGTGGGTCTTCCTCTTCAGGTAAACCTTTTCTAAAAATGTCCTAGACACATCCAGAGGTCTATTTCCATCAGTGTAGAACATACTCTGAATCCAGTCAAGTGACAATGAAGATTAACCGACAGCCTTATAATTTTCTCACTTGTTTTTGTCTTTGTTAATTTTTCTCTCTCTTTTTTTGTATTGTTTGTTTGTTTTGCTTTTTGTTTTTTGAGACAGGGTCTCTCCATGTAACTGTCTGCCTGGTTCTTGCTATGTAGACCAGGCTAGCCTCCAACACAGAGATCTGCCTGCCTTAGCCTCCTGGGTACTGGGATTAAAGGCATGTACCCTCATAACCAGATAGTCTTGTTAAGTTTTTATATCATTGTCAACAATTTTCAATAATAGGATTATTAGAACTATACTTTCTGTGTACAAAGAACTGCCAGACATGGTCTAAGACAGCACCACTTCTCAGAGAGTCGGTGAATGACAAAGAGCAACCATTGGTCAGATTGCTATGAAGATTGCAGGTCCTGACTTAGACCTCTTTTTACATGTACCTTAAAGCTTGAGAATGCTGCTTTGGGAACATGTTATCTGCTCAGCTGCAGGGGACAGAGTCCAGGTCACACACCTGCTAGGCAAGTGCTCTGCTACCTACCTGCAGCTTTAAACCCAAGACTGTTACTTGGAAGTAGAGATATTCTTTAATATGCCTTTGTTCTGCTTTTACCAAGCTCCTGCTTGTGTTTTGAAACTCTGTTGTACTGTCACATATTTGGTACAGTTCTAGTTTATGTCTGTACTATCTTGTCCAAGTCAGTTTCTCTTCTCATACTACTTCAAGAGCATACTTTCATTAGTATATACAGCAGCATGTCACATTGTTCTGTAATGGCTGTTTACTTTTCTCCCTTCTCTGCTGAAATGATAGCATCAGTAGGGTGAGAGTATATTACTTTTTGTTCTCCCAGCCTAGCAAGCATTTGTTAAATGCTAATAAAATTGTCCTATCAGTATTTGAATTTTGTATTTCTTTAGATAAGCAAAGAAATTATTTATTTAATACATAATCATACTTAATGTACAACTAATATTTTCATTTTATATTTTTTGGTGTAAGATTATTAGCCCTAAACAGGGTTTCTCTGTATAACAGCCCTAGCTGTCCTGGAACTAGCTCTATAGACCAGGCTGGCCCCGAACTCACAGAGATCTGCCTGCCTCTGCCTCCTGAGTGCTGGGATTAAAGGCGTGTGTTACTGTCACCTGGCTAGCCCTAAACATTTTGTATTCTCTCATTTTAAAATTATAAGGCAATACACACCTTTAATCCTGGAACTCCAGAGGCACAGACAGGTGGATCGCTGTGAGTTCCAAGCCAGTCTGATTGACATAATGAGATCTAGGCCAGACAGAGCTACAAAGTAAGACCCTGTTTCAAAAATCTCAAAATAAGTAAATGAATAAAACGCGCGCGCATGTGTGTGTGTGTGTGTGTGTGTGTGTGTGTGTGTGTTATTTTTTTGTTTCAGTTTTCATTTTTTAGTCAGTAGGGTAGAGGGGCTCACTGGTGGGCCAGCCTAACTGAAATGAAGAATTCCAGGTTCAATGAGAGACTCTTAGTTTTAGAGAAAAAAGTTAGGGGGGAGTTGGTTGCTGGAAGTAAGGCTCTGAAGTTCAGAGAACCTAGTACTTTTGCAGAGGACCTGAGTTTGATCCCCAGCACCAGCTCCAAAGAATCCAACATCTTCTGACCTCCACAGGCACTGCATGTGCACACTCACACACACACACACACACACACACACACACACACACACACACACACACTTTTAAAAATAAATGAAAATGAGAGAATATTTCGCTACTTTATTCTGATTTTGTTCTTCATATAGAAGCATTAGAACATTTTTCTCTATGATTTTAGTTGTTTTGTTGTTGTTTTTTTGGAGACAGGGTATACTGTGTGACCCTGGCTGTCCTGGAACTCTATCTGTAGACCAGGCTGGCCTTGAACTCATAAAGATCCAACTGCCTCTGCCTCCCAAGTGCTGGGATTTAAGGTGTGCACTGCCATACCCAGACTTGATTTTAATTATTAATTTTTCTTTCTTGAACTACATTCCAAATAGGTGAAAGAATATTTGCAATTGAAGGTGAGGGTTAAACCTTTTTGTTTATTAGGAGATTACAGTTTATAGGAATGGTCAGACTTCTATTAAATTTGGTGATTTTATCTTTTATTGGGCTATAGCTATATGTTCACAATGTTTTGTTAAAAAGTTTTTTGCAGAGATAGAAAACTTTATGACTTGTGACTATGTCCAGCTAACATGGAATTGTGGATCTTCATGATTTTTTTTAATTGGAAATGATTGCCAATATTTATTACACTTACTTTGTATGTGTGTTCATAACACCTACTACAGTGTGTACATGTCAGCCACAGGACAACTTGGCTCTCTTTCCTTTCACAGCGTGCCTTTTTGGTTGGTGTTGTTGGTGTTGTTTTGTTTTTTCTTTGAGACAGGATTTCACTGTGTAGCCCTAGCTGTCCTGGAACTCCCTCTGTAGACCAGGCTGGCCTTGAACTCACAGAGATCTGCCTGCCTCTGCCTCCTGAGTGCTGGGATTAAAGGCATGTGCCACCACCGCCCAGCTTACTGTGTGCCTTTTAAGGATGAAATTCGGGTCCTCAGGCTTGGCTGCAGGTTCCTTTACGCCCTTAGTAAATTAATCTCATTCCTATTTGGGGATTATAAAATTTTCTTTCTTTTTTTTTTTTTGTGTGTGTATGTACATGTGTGTACATGTGTGCACCATGGTGAGAGTACAGAGGTCAGAGGATAACTTGTGGGAGTCCTTCTCCTTTCATATTTGCTTTGGGTTCCGGGATTGAACTCAGGTCATCAGACTTTTGTAGGAAACACCTTACCAGAATGAGTCATCTCCTGCCCTTTCATACTAATTTTCGTTTTGGTAAATTTAATGCTAAAGTAGTTTTGATTACTTTGTTTGTTGTAGGTCTAGGAATTAATCACAGCCTTTTGTATTCTAGACAAGTGGTCTAACGCTAAACTTTACTTTCAGCCCTCGTCTGTTTGTGGATTAGATCTTACTGTACCTGGAGTGTCTACTTTTACATTTTGGAATGCGTGTATTTGTGTATCAGGGAGAGAGAGTCAGGCAGGGCAGAAGAAGGCCTGTTACCTGCTGAGCCATCTCACTGGCCCCATTTGTGCTTTTTTTTTTGGTTTTTCGAGACAGGGTTTCTCTGTGTACTTTCCTGGAACTCACTTGGTAGCCCAGGCTGGCCTCGAACTCACAGAGATCCGTCTGGCTCTGCCTCCCGAGTGCTGGGATTAAAGGCGTGCGCCACCACTGCCCGGCCCCCATTTGTGCTTTTAATGTCCAGTAATTAAACAGCTTTTTATGTGAGGTATTGGGTTTATTACCCTTCTTGAATTCTCACTGTTAATGAAAGTATATAATGATTTGACATAGACCAACTTCTTTAAGCTCCGTTGGCATTTAAAAAACCTGACCTAGGAGACAGGAAGGGATAACCTAGGGTTTTTTTCAAGGCAAACTAGTAAGGATCTGATGTGTACTGTCTGCCCTGCTTCCTTAGATGTTCGTGGCTGTGGCAAGTCAGTGTTACTAGAGGAATTTGAAGTAGCCTTCAGATGGTGTTTGTCTTACAATGCAAAGAGAACTTAGCTTTAAAAGAGTCCTCAAATTAGTCATGAATGATATCTAGCAGTAAATAACTACGAATTTCAAGTGTGTATTATTTTTTTTTTTTTTTTTTTTTTTTTTTGGTTTTTCGAGACAGGGTTTCTCTGTGTAGCTTTGCGCCTTTCCTGGGACTCACTTGGTAGCCCAGGCTGGCCTCGAACTCACAGAGATCCGCCTGGCTCTGCCTCCCGAGTGCTGGGATTAAAGGCGTGCGCCACCACCGCCCGGCGTGTATTATTTTTATTCTCTCCCTAAAATGTCACTTTTGACCAGTACCTACAGTAATGAAATCATATGCCTTTAATCCCAGTACTCAGGAGGCAGAGGCAGGCAGAACTCTTGAGTTTTTGAGGCCAGCCTGGTCTATAGGACAGGGACAACCAGGGCTACACAGAGAAACCCTGTCTCAAAAAAAAAAAAAACACAAAAAACGAAAGAAAGAAAGAAGAAAGGAAGGGGGAGGGAGGAAGAGAGAGAGGTTGTAGGTCATTAGAAAGGATATTCTAAACATGGCATCCTTTTCATTAAGAAAACTTTCAAATCACCAACCTGAGCTACACAGACTTTCAACAAAAACAAAAACAAAAAAACATTAATCGTTTTGTAGTCCTGGCTATCCTGGAATTTGCTCTGTAGACCAGGCTGACCTTGAACTCAGAGATCCTCCTGCCTCTGCCTTCCAAGTGCTGGGATTAAAGATATGCGCCACCACCACCTGCAGAAAACATTAGATCTTAACAGGAAACACTAAACACAGAAGCGAAATCGTTGAAAAAATTTTATTTGGGGGTACAAGCAGGGATAGAGTTGCTGCTCAGCCCACTATTCTCTTGAAGTATGATAAATAAACTTATTTTTTAAGGTATTTTCAGTCTTCATTCTTAATTACCTTTGTATAATCTTCATAAAATGTGTTCTTTTGTGACCAGTACCTGAAAGTTGCTGGGTTTCCCTTACCTACTTTCTCATCTGTCTTCAGTATAGGTCCCTTCTTTTCTTCTCTTTACTCTTGAATTAATCCTCTACCTACTTCACAGGCCGATTCTTTGATGAAAATGAATCCCCTGTTGATCCGCAGCATGGCTCTAAACTGGCGGATTATAATGGGGATGATGGTAACGTAGGTGAGTATGAGGCAGACAAGCAGGCTGAGCTGGCTTACAATGAGGAAGAAGATGGTGATGGTGGAGAGGAAGACGTCCAAGGTGAGCGTGGCCTGGCTTCCATGCTGTGACCGTGAAACTCACCTTTTAGGTTTTTGGTTGAATTTGTGTAGAATTTCCCCCACTTACAATCATAGCAGTAGCTTAATCTTAACTCAAGAGGTTCTGTGTAATTTTTCAGTTTTGAGAACTATTTCATGATAGTAAAAGTTTAGCTATGAGTAATTGGAAGGGTCTTTATTTTCATTTTTAGATTGTCTTTTATATATATATATATATATATATATATATATATCTATGTTATTGATGTAGTGACAATTTGAAATGCTGAGTCCTCAAAATTTTTACTACTGAATTGTTTGAAATGACTCTAGGCTAAGGCAAATACTTCCACAACGTATCTTTTTTTAAATCTCATTGGAGAATACTTATGATTGTAAGTATATACAAGTATTGCCCAGACAGCGTTTTTGTTAAAGCAAAGCCACAACGGAAATGGTCTCCTTAAGGAACAGAAATTTACTCTGCCGCTGATCGGACATGACAAGGCAAAGTGTTCTGAGAACTTTAACCTTCATATTTAATGCAGGGCTTGTAAGATTTAGCTTCATGTTTAATACACAGATTCAATACATTTTTTCTTGTTAACTCTTGCTTCTGAGCTTTTAATGTGGTGAAAGTTCAGAATCTTACCTGTGTGCATGCCTCAGACCACATTGCTGTGCTGTAATGAGGCTTTGGGATTCTTTTCTACCTGCTTGTGTTCAGTAGTATTTATGGAGTTTTAAAGTATTTTCTATTAAAGTTACCTATGATCTTAGGGTATAAAATATAAGATTTTTGTAATGCAATGCATGAGTTTTCTGGGGTAACCAGTTTTGATTTCTTACTTCTTTTTATAGTTATAAATTTTACTTAGGTTCAAGACAAGAATTATTTTTTTAAACTTAGAAAATAATATAATTGCCCTAGAATACTTTATAGTTAGTATAAAAGGAAAAACTAGTGATCTGACTTCCTAGGCATTATTTTGTGGTCAACTCTAGTTTGGGGATAAATATAGTTATTTGTAAAAAAAGGAGATTAATAGGTACTGGAAGTTCTATAAGGACATCATCTCATCATTTTCTCATAAATTTTTCCTTTTCTCACTGCTTTTGTGATTTTATTGGATTATATTTGTTTGCCTTTATCTGTAACCCTTGATGCCTTTTTTCATGCACATATCATGTCACCAATCAGATTGTAAGCTCTTAAGGAAGAGGAATTCTCATTTATTTTACTTTCACTTTGTGTTCTTTGTTGTGCCTGCTCCCCATAACGTTTTTACTCAGGGCCACACCGTGCCACTAACTGCTAATGCTGTGCTTTCTCATTGACTCTGTTCTCATAACCGACTGGACAAATGCTCTTCAACTCTGGTCATAGCTTGCTTGTTCGCACTTTGAGGAGTTTTTCCCCCCTTAAGGATCTCTATCGTTTAACTAGACAATTTTGAGGTTTTTATTAGATGGTTAATTTCAAGTATTATTAATAATTCTTACATTTTTGCCTGTCTTAAGCCTGATGATTTTAATCACAGAATTTCATTTAATATTTGTATCGGTTTTATGCACATGAGTGATTTATCTTCAGTGACTTCTCTCTCCCTTCTTGTATCCTCCCACATCCATTTCTTACTATGCTGTGCTTTTCCTTTCACACACACACACAAATCATAATAAATTCATCGGTTCTAAGGAATGTATGAGGCCTACGATATTTTCAGTGAAGTAGGGAGGTGGTTTTTTCCCCCCTTAGGATCTCTTGTAACCCAGGCTCACCCTTCGTATATAGTTGAGGGCAACCTTAAACTCTTGATCCTCCTGCCTCCATCTCCCAAGTGCTGAATTGCAAGCATATGCTAACACATCCAGTTTTTGTGGTGCTGGGGGAGAAACCCAGAGCCTCACAGGTAGTGGGTGAGCACTCTACCAACTAAGCCACATCCCCAGTTCTAAATTTTTTACTTCAGTATTTTCAAGTAAATCTTACTTGAGTTGAGAGTTGCTACTTAAAGTTTATCTTATTTTGGTATCCACTAGTAATAGTGGAGACTCATCACAGATCAGAAATAAGCAGGAACAGCAGCCCCAGTAAAGGGAGTTAAATTGGATAAACTGACTTTAACAGAAGTATTTTAAAGACCTAAAATAATTTCAGAAATATTTGTAAGATTAGGTTCATTATTAACTGTCCAAAGGGCGGGGGAGGCAGAGAGACTTATCCACAACTTAACAGGTTAGATTCCAGGTGTTATTGCAAGGTCAGAATTTGCAAAGTTGAAATCATTTTGTCACTGTCAATATAATTATAATGCTTTTACAGCCCAAGCAGGTCTTAAAATTGAGTGAGTAGTGGGGGCTGGAGGACAGAACCACATGTTGGACTTAGAGTTAAATCACATAGATATTCTGTGCAGTTTTGTCATCTAGAACTAAAAATGTGGCCCTCATACAATTCCGATTTCAAAATGCCTGAGGCACTCTACTCCCAAACTCAGGAAAGAGAAATATTTTTGCCATTGTTGGAATCTTATGACCAGAAATAAAAACAAACAAACCCTGAAGTATGGCTGAGCGTGGTGGCCCCCACATAATCCCAGCACTCGGGAAGCTGAGACAGGATAACAGAGAGAGCGCTAGGCTGTTCTGAGCTACAGAGCCACACCTTTTCTTTTACTTGAAAATTTTTGCTATTTTGTGTGTGTGTGTGTGTGTGTGTTTTGGCTGCATGTGTGTCTGGTGCCAGAAGAGAACAGAAGTGGGTGTTGTATCCCCTGGAACTGGAGTTACAGATGGTTCTGAGCCACCATGTAGGTACAGGGAATTGAACCTGGGTCCCCTAGAAGAACAGCTAGTGCTCTTACTGCTGAGCAGTCTCTCCAGCACCAAGACCTTGAGAGAAAGAAAGGGGGAGGAAGGAGAGCCTTCAGAAGCATCGGTAAGGTTCTTTAGGCATGGTCTGCTCTGCTGATTGTGGAAGCAGTTTCTTGAGGCATGAGGTATAAAGGGTTAGAGACTCCAGCTGAAGCCTAAGATTCTGTTAAATACACTCTGACTTGGTCTCAAACAAGTCAGGATTGGGAAATGGTAGCTTTGGCCAATAGGAAGCTAAAGCATTCCAGCCTTACTCTGTTCGTGCATCCTGATACTGGAGTCAGCACTATTACTATTACCTCCAGTGTTTGCTTATAGAATTAAATAAGGCCTCATTTTCCTGTGTTGATAATAATGACTTGTTTTTATTTCAAATTCTTAGAGTATCCTAAAGGAAATAATTTATTTGCATTAGTATAAAAATTTGAAAAGAGTACTCTGGAAACACTGCCTCTGATAGATAACAAATCTTTTAGTTTATTCTTTTTGTTTGTTTGTTTTGCTTTGCTTTGCTTTTCAAGACAGGGTTTTTCTGTGTAGCCGCAGCTATCCTGGAACTCGCTCTATAGACCAGGCTGGCCTCAAACTCACAGAGATCCTCCTGCCTCTGCCTCCCAGGTGCTGGGATTAAAGGCGTGCGCCACCGTCGCCCACAGGGATTTCATTCTTTATTCTTTTTTTTTTTTTTCATTCTTTATTCTTATAAGAAGGTAGAAACTTGGAGCTGGAGAGATGGCTCAGCTGTTCTTCAGAGGACCTGGGTTCAATGCCCAACATCCACAGTTCACAGCCATTTGTAACTCCAGTTCCAGGAAATCCAACATCCTCTTCTGGCCTCCAGCCCATATAGGTTGGGCACAGACAAAACACTCACATACATAAAATTTTTAAAGATTTGTTATTTTTAAGTGTGTGTGGTTTGTGTGTGTCTGTGTCATCAGATCCCCTGGAACTAGAGTTACAGATAATTGTAAGCCACCTGTTGTGGGTGCTGAGAACTGAACTCAGGTCCTCTGGAAGAGCAGCAAGTGCTCTTACCTGCTGAACCATCTTTCCAGGTCAAAAATAAAAATCTTTTTAAAAAGAAGTTAAAATTTGTAAATTTCCTTTACTCTTTAATCTCAAAGAAATTCCTAGTTTATTTGTAAACAATAAACAGTAAGCACTGTTTACATACAGAAGCTTAGCCAAGTATGTCATCCCAGTGATAAAAAGCCTGGATTCTAATTCTCTCTCATAATTCCCACAGCTGTAAAGCAGAAATACATGTACTTATCTAGCAGAAGTTGTATAGACTATATGATATCAATCAGCACTTAAACCAGAGTACTTCATTCTATAAAGCACTGTCTAAGTGTTTGCTCAATAATTTTTTAAATAAAAGAAAATCTAGCGTTTTCTCTCTGGATTGCTTCCTTTTGAAGGATAGTTGTCCTCCGCCCTGTGGGTGAGCTTGTGACTTTGTGGGGCCTCAGTGTCTGAGGAGCTCTTTAGTTGCTAGTCCTTTCTTACATCACTGACATCACAAATGATGGGTATCTCTCTGGTTATATTTCCTTGGTTGTTTCCTCATGGTTAGCTACTTGTATGTTCTGCTGCTTTCTCTAAAAACTAAACTCTCATTCTCTGTGATTATCACTAATGTGTCAGTTATATTCTGTCAGGTAATGTATAGGTTTATAGCTGAATATAAAGAAGTTGTTGATAGAAACTTGAATTCTGGGTAGAATAACTACACTGAAAACAGACTGTAGTCAGTGTAAATGATGCTCACTAAAGTATTCCAAAAGTCCTATGAAATTCTTGAAATCAGTGTATAAGCATCATATCAAAATTGTGCTAAAGTGGGACTGGAGCTATCTAGCTCAGTGGTAGAGTGCTTGTCCAGCTCCTGAGATTAGTCTTTAGCTACAACACACACACATGTACAAGTAAAGAACATAGATTTAGTTTACCTAACTTCATATTTATAGAGGACTTTGCAAACAGAAACTGCAGTTACGTCATTTTATTCTGAAATAGGACATTTCTTGTTGTACTGAGAAGGTACAATGCAGGTCCAAAGAATAGGAACTAGACTATGTTTTGATCCAGTAACAAATTTCAGTGTTTTCTGTTCCTAGAACCTTTGCTTTTATCTCATTTTCTCTTTGTATTTATTCATATAAAAATTCAGAAAAGTAACAACATTTTTTCTGCAATAACTTTTGTGTTGACTTTTTCAAAATGTTCCATTGCTCCATAGTGATTGTCTTCATTTAATTATTAATGTCTTGGAAGATGTGTTCAAAGGCATAGATTGAGGCCTCATAACTCAGGTTCTCCAGAGGGCATTCTGGAAAAGTGTCCGTGATTCTTTCCCCTTTTAAAACCAAAGATAGTTTTGGTATATTTTTTTCTAAGTGTGGTTTTCGATTTTGTTTTTTATAAGAAAGTAATTTTCATGATTATAACACACAAATGTGAATAAAATATAACTTAAGCCTTTACAAATGTTATAATAGATCCTGGTGCATTTTACTTTAGAGATATGTGATCATCAAGCAAGGCCTGGTGGCACAGGCCTCTAATCCCAGCTCTTCTGTAGACTGAGGACAGGGGATTGCAAGTTCAAGACCAGCCTATGCAACTTTTAGTGAGATGCTATCTCGAAAAGTAAAAGCAGTCTAGGGATATGGCACAGTGAGCAGCGTGGTCAGAGCCCTGGGTCCATCTGAAGCACCACAAAACAGATGAAAAACAAATGAGCCAACATATATAAACAGGCTGAGGATGTAGTTCAGTGGTAGAGCACTTGACAAGTTCAGTCCATTAGCACTCCCTCCTAAAAAACAAAAAAGTGATCAGTTTTAAGAATATGGTACAAAAGAAAGTTGGCTTGTTTGTCATTTTTCAAAGATCAAGATAGCACATGGAAGGTTGAAACAGGAGGATTATGAGTTCAAGGCCAGCCTGAGCTACATAGTGAAATTGTCTCAAAAACAAACTGTTGGATCTGGGAAGAGTTGAGGTGTGGAGAGTGGGAGTCAATATGATCAAAATGTATGAAATTCTGGAAAAGAATTAATAAAAAACTTTAATTCAATATAATTAAAATTCAAGGATGATCCCTAATTTATAATGGTCCAGTGTATGATTTTTCGGCTTTCCAAAAGTAAAGCGACAATTCTAAAGGAGTCTGCTTAAGGACTATTAGGGAATTTATGAGTATAAATTGAGGAAATATGCCCAAGAACACAGAACTGAGTAGACAGCTGAAGTCATCCTCTGATCTGACCGGGAGCAAATCCACCTGGCAGTTTGATCACACCAGGAAGCAGGAAACAGAGAGAAGGAACCTTGTGACCCCCTCTCCCGTTCCTTTTAAGAGGTCCTGTACAGTGGCAAGCAGCACCACCTCCTTCTGGCCATATAGCCCAAGGTCATGGGCTGAGCAAATACCACTCCACAATAGTACAAACAAAAGCATGCAGGCACTCTGCTCTTCATTTTCAGTATGGTATTCAGTAAATCATGGGAGATACAAAAAAATAAATAATAAAATGAAGCATTGAACAAAGAGAGCCACCTCCTCGGGCTCTACTTAAACTTCTTTTCGTTCTTTTTTGGTTTTTTGTTTTTTGAGACAGAGTTTCTCTTTGTAGCCCTGGCTGTCCCGGACTCAGTCTGTAGCCCAGGCAGGCCTTGAACTCACAGAGATCTGCCTGCCTCTGCCTCCCAAGTGCTGGGACTAAAGGCGTGTGCCACCACCACCACCTGGCTCTTCCTCTCATTCTTATTGTAACATCATTTTATTTTGAGCAGTTATATTTAAAATTTTTTTATTTTTTTAAAGGGCTTGTTGTTGAGATAAACTGACATACAGAGACGGCAGCTGCCATATAAGGAGACTATAGCCAGAGAAGTCGTTACTGCAAGGCACTGGTTGTCATTTAATGCAGCTGTTCAGAGAGGCTTTGAGGGGCAACAATTGTGGGTTTTGTTTTGTTTTGTTTTTTCTAAGGAAGAGTTAAGTTTTGGTAAGTGTGCTGCATTTAAAAAGTCAAGAGAAAGCTATTTGCAGAGAACTTCACTGAAGTGTTCTATGTTGGGACTGAGGAGAACTTATATTCTCTTATTTTCTGATTTTTTTTTTCATGACCACTATAGATTATCTTTATAATTAGAGATGATGGTGGTGAGTTTTTGAGAGTGTCTCCTATAGCCTTAGGCAGTCCTGGAACTGGCCCTGGAGCTAGGAATGGCCTGAAACTCTGACCTCATGCACAACACTAGCTCTTCAGTCCTGGGGATTCCTAACGCTTTGTTAGCTCTATCTATTGTACATTTGTCTGTACATACCTGTCAGATGGTTCTTATTTTCCTTTTAGGTTGAGGATGGTTGCTGTGTTTTGTTTCTTTGAGATAGGGTCTCATGTAGCCCAGGTTAACCTCAAGCTCTCTATGTAGTCCAAGTCTTGAACTCCTGATCCTTCTGCCTCCAATTCTGCCCTAGTGCTGGGATTACAGGTGTGAGCCACCATGCCCAACTCAGAATGTTTGTTAAAATTAAGTCTTACAAAGTAGTGATAGACTTTTCACTCTTCAGCCATGCAGCTAAGAAACAGTACAGTTAAGATAACAGATAAGAAATGAGAAAAGATTGCTGTAAAGCTGAAAAACTGGAGACAGTGTGAAACTGTCTGGCTGTGGCAACTTTGGACCCTGTTCTTGATATATATTATTTTGTTTGCAGATGATGAAGAACGAGAGCTTCAGATGGATCCTGCAGACTATGGCAAACAGCGCTTCAATGATGTCCTTTAAGTCTAAGGGATGCTCAAAACCCAAAGTGCTTCGCAGTGAATCATCTCTATTTGTCAATTTTGACTTCTGTTGTAAAGATCAGTCGTCGTTGTATCAGTTGTAAAGATACATTGAGATAGATTTAAGGAAATTTTAATGAAGGAATGTACCAATGTACATATATGAACTTTTTCATATTGTATTATCAAAGCAGATACTTTTTTGGTTACAACACAGCTGAGCCAAAAACAGTTAATCTTTGCATTTAAAGCAAACTAATGTAAATTTCACATTTTATTGAACCTAATTTTTTTTCACAAAAAGACAAAGGAACAAATGTTTGTACAGGTTATATGCTGCACATAGTGTAATGGCAGTGAGAAGTTAGTTATTCAGCTGAAAACTCTAGACACTAATACGTTTTTGTTACCTGCCCCCACCCCCATAGGTGTCCTCTACTGCCCCTCATTTCACACTCTTTAAAGAGTTACGCTAGAATAGTTACACACAAAAGTGGGGACCTGGATGCCAAGCAATGGGCAATGTGTGTACAGAATGACCTCCCTGTTCCTTTTATTTTACTCGAGGAAAGTCCAAGTCACCATAACAATATTTATGTTATTCCTTACTTAGTTCTTGAAGTTGCGGAATGCATGATTGACAATGAATTTTTATTTTTTCAAGTAATACCAGTACTGTTTAACTGTAGTCAGCACTGGCTAAAATTCGTTATATTTTCAGAGTTGAATCTGGTGAGTGTATTCACCGTTTACGTGACAGATCCTGAAAGTGACTAAATCCACCTTGAAATGAGTCTGCGATCAGTACAGCAAAACTTTTCTGGTAGTTTTAATGATTGTATTTGATTAGACTTTTCCAGAACTACTAAGTAAGGGATTTTAACAGGTTTTTATTAATGAATGGATGAATAGAAGTACCGTGACGTCTACAGCTGTTTTATTGAAATAGCCGAAAACTTTGTAATAAAAATGAATATTTGTAATTAATGTTAGTTAAGAACCCACCAAGCTCATTTGCTAGACTTACTGAATTATTTTCAGTGTATTGTGTCTTTTGCCATTATTTCATTAGGATATATAAGCTAGCTAATCCTTCTTTTCTGGTTTCAAGCACTTTTAATTTTTTTTAGTGTTCCCTAAAAATGAAAGGTATTGATGATAAGGGGGAAATGTAAGGCTGTAAACCCCGTTTTTTAGAAGGGCTGCTTTAATTGCACATAAAGATGAACTACTTGGAGTGACATGGCGCAGGGTGTGAGGCCTAGGTTGATTCCCAGCACTGAAAATAACAACAAAGTAAACACACATGAAAAGCCCCCCACTAAGGCTCTGTTCAAAATACTAATCTATAGAAGAAGCAATTGTTCACCTACTGACAGACCTAAGTTCTTATAATTCAGTCCAAAGTTATTTAATGGCCAGAAAAAGATGGAGTCATTTATTAAAATTGACTTTTCCACTATATCAGATTATCCAGTGTTGAGGAGGCAGAGACAGATGGGTCCATGGAGCTCGATGGCCAGCCATCCTGGCCTAATTAGTAAGTTCCGGGACCCAGTAAGGGACAGCTTGTGAGGAACACCCTCCCCCCACAGGTTGACCTCTGGCCTTCCTACACCTGCACACACGTAACTGCTTGTGCACACAAACACTCTCATACACACACCAAGAAACCAAACAGTTTATACTTTTGTTGTCAGTAAAGTCAGGCCTCCAGTAAAAAAGTATGATGATTACATTAAAATGTAGTCAAAGGGGAGTGATGCACATGCACAACAGTTAGCAAGGGGAGCCAAATCTACAAATGCCTAGAGATACTTCATACTTGATATTGTAGAACTGGATAGACGAAAGCATAAGGTCTCCTGCTGATTCCATTGTCCTAAAAACGGTCAGTTGGTTGTATGGTAACTATCCATACACAGCAAAAACTTCATTTAGCAGCCTAGACATTTTATAAACTGGGGAACCTTGGACCAACTGATATTTCTGACTATATTAACATTGTAGTGCTGTAAAGTACTATGTGGATCTCTTTAAATTGTGACATTCTACAGTCTGTATTAGAAATGGTGTTTTGTTTTGTTTACAGTGTTTTACTTCTGCCTTAAGAATTAGGGTTGGTTGTTTTGTTTTGTTTTAATGTATTTTTGCCCTGAATTAAGTGTTAATTTGACAGGAACGCTGCTTTTAAAAATCTTACTGGGTTCTAATAAATTAAAAGTTAAACTTGTTTCACAGTTTTGATTTTGCTAGATATATATAAAATTACATGAATGTAAACATTTGCATCTTGACACTGAAATTTGAATAAATGTTAGCATTTATTTTAAGTTAAACTGAACTACACGAGTAGGGTTGTTTACTGTAGGGCCAGCTTATTTGGCAAAGGTAGAAAGTCATCTGTGTGAATAAGTAAATAAGATGGACAAGGTCTGTTCTAGAGCTTACATTCAAATGGAAGCAGTCAGCACCCAAATGAATCAGACAAAATATGATAAAATGGAGAGATGGGAAAAGGGGGGGGGGCTTTACCTAGGGAGGAAGGTTAAGTAACACTAAGTATATTTCAGATAGACACACTGGGCCTGGGTTTGGCTTTTGAAACCTCAAAGCCCACCTCCAGTGACATACCTCCTCCAACAAATGTCCACACCTTCTAATAGTTCCATTCCCTGGTGACCAAGCATTCAAATCTATGAGTCTGTGGGGGCCATCCTCCTTCAAACCACCATATAGATGTACACACACACACACACACACACACACACACACACACACGGGGTGGAGGTGGGAGGGATTGTTTAAAGAAGTTGTGCCTCTTGGAGCAATGATGCTTCCTAAAAGAGCCTTGGACTATCTAACAAAAATCCCAATACTATGCATGAGAAACCCTTCTCAACTTGTTGGGTAAGGGAATTCCAAGAGACAAAACAATATAGGCTCTTGCTGTTGCCCTGGTTGTCTCTCATTGCTGAAGACTTGATACACCTCAGATAGAACTTGGAGTAATGGAACTGATCTGGAAACCTCCCTGAGGAGTGGCTCTCATAGTATCAGTGCTGTGCAGGCTGCCGAGAAAGCAGCACTGGGCAGTCCTGCCCTGCTGTAAAGCCTGTGAACCACAATTACTGGACCAGCAACATGTCTACAATGGTAAAATAACGGCACATACCTGGATGTTTCTCTCCTGCCTGCCAGTTCCCAAATAACCAGTCAGAGGCTTAATATTAATTATAAATGCTCAGCCAGTAACTCAGGCTTATTACTAACTAGCTCTTACACTTAACCCATAAGTAACCCATTCTTTTTTTTTTCTTTGAAATTTTAAATACATTTATTTTATTGAACACTGATGGTTCAGAGCTAAGATTTCCCCAAAAGAACAAGTGTTGAAAGACTGGTTTCCATTGCAGTAATATTTAGAAGTGGGGCTTCTGCTTTGCTTATAATCATATGCTTAGGAATAACAAGACTCAACCAAAGTGCTGAATAGTTCCAAATGTCTTACTCTTTCACTGCAATTCTGAATCATACTACCTAGGATTCCCTCCCTTCTCTGTCTCTCCTGGCTCTAGGGACTGAACACACACCTTGTGCATTCTAGGCAAGCACTCTTCTACCGAGTTACACCCAAGCCCTTCATTGTTTTCTTTAAGACAAAGTTTCCCTGTGTAGTCTAGGCTGGCCTTGAATCCCCGATCCTTAATGACTCAGCCATCCTGTGGCTGGTTTATGAACATGCAAGGCCATGATATGCCTGACTCTAGCTCACTTATTTGGACAGACAAGCTCCTGAACTCTCAACAACCTATTACTATTACACTAGTGAGAGTTCCAGGATGTCCAGAGCTGTGGTTAACAGGGTCCCAGCTGTGGTTAACGGGGTCCCAGCTGTGGTTAACAGGGTCGCAGCAGGGCTGCAATGGCAGACTCCGAGAGTGCTGGCTGGCTTTCTGTCAAGCGATGAGATGGTGAAGCCCAGTTTCCTAAGTCACTGTCTTTCATTAGCTTAAGAGGAATGCATTTAACTAACTCCCTCTCGGTGGGGGCTCAGTAGTTAGTTTCACCTCAGTAAATACTGACTACAGGAAGGAAACAAAAGTTGATTTTTAAAATCACATTTACTAGCTCACATAAATAATTTGAGAACAAATATGTCTTCCCTTCTGAATCCTCAGCATAATTTATCATAGCTTTTAATAAGCTACTATAAATATGTAAGAGGAAAATGAATTTTAAAAACGTGAAGAAGCAGATGTGAAACACTGACAGGCTGACTTTTTAAAGATTGACCCACTGATTTGCAATTTTTATTAAAATGAATTTCACCTATAAATAGATAATTTGTAATCCAATCGTGATTTGTTTGGATAACAGTTGAATTTTTACATTAAAAAACTGCAAAGCTTCAACTAGGGGACAAATAAAACGTTCAGACTTGAGCTTACACTTTAAAAATTCTACCAACCTTAACAAAGAAACAATGACATCATAGTAATTGACATTAGTACCATGGTCCAAAATACATCTTCCATTACTTTTCTATTGCTGCTGCTGCTGCATGCAGAGGCTTCTAGTGGGAGTTAGCATAGAGTTTGTTCTTGATGAAGACAACACTAGACAGATGTTGCCTGATGTCTGGGTAATGCTGAATGTGACAAAACCAGCGAGACACATTAAGATATCTCTCCATTCTTGAACTGTCAGGTCAACTATGAAGCAGAAGGATATCTGCCAAGGTAAAGTTATATCCTGCGAGGTAGACTTTATCTTCAAGATAGGAATTAAGATCCTTCAGCAGGCTGTGGGTATCTTCTTTACTGGAGTGTCCATCTACTCGAGTGATCCTGTACTCTAACCACTGCTGAACGACTGCCTTTTCTTCTGTGGTGCTCCCTAGCAAGTTCTCTTTATTGGCTTGCTTGACTAGATGGGTTGCGATGGTAGCCAATCCCATTAGACTTGGGCCATTGTTTGTAGAACTGGAACCTGTCGCTCGCCCTGAGCGCTGTACTTATTCCCCGGCCTCAGCCCCAAAGGCTTCTCCAGCAGCTTCAGCTCCACGGCCGCCGCCATCTTCTGGCCCAGCTCCCGGTGGAGTAACCCATTCTTATCTATAGCCACGTGACTTGGTACCTTTTCTCAGTACATTTTCATCTTACTTCCTCTGTGTCTGGCTCACAACTCCTGACCCCACCCTTCCTCTTCCCAGAGTTCTCCTAGTCTGGCTTTCCTGCCTAACTTCTTGCCCAGCTACTGGCCTGTCAGCTTTTTATTAGCAAGTGAGAGTAATACACATTCATAATGTAGAAAAGGATTGTTCCACATTTCCCTGTTTCTGTCTAATCAAAAAGGAAGGTTTTTAACTTTAACATAGTAAAATTACATAAAACAGTTATCAAGCAAGAATTACAGTTATAATATCTAGGCTATTTGTATTTGGTAACATTAAAATTCTTTCCTATTTTTGTGAGTCTAAAGTTTTGTGTCTAATTTACTTTCTATTATAACTAAAGAAAACTATAATGATAACTATTTAGTCTTCAATTCCATCGAAGACCTGAGAAGGCTATAATATCTGAGTAAATAGGAAGTGCATCCCAAAACTCTAGAAATGACAGAAACATCTGACTGCCTTGGCAGTTACCCAAAGTTTCTCTAACTTTCGGGCATCCAACTTTGGCTTATAGGCCTAGAATATCTGACAGACTTTTTTCAGAAACAGGAAATTTTGAGGGGCTGTCCTACACTGTCTTGGCAAAGTTAAGCAGTCTCTGTGTCCTGGTTGTCCAGATTGGGCAGCATGCTTATTGTCAGCAGTTGCAGCAAGGGCAGTTTCTTTGCCCACATGACTAGCTTTTGCCATAAAGCAAACTCTACATGGAGTTTCTTCAATGCCCATTATTCTCTTTGAAGTAATTGGTGCTGCCAGGAGCAGAGGGTCTCACTGTTTTTAAAAAGTCTGTTTTTAAAATATTTTAAGAGCTGGGTGTATGCCTTTAATCCTAACACTTGGGAGGCAGAGGTAGGTGGATCTCTATGAGTTCGAGGCCAGCCTGGGCTACAAAGTGAGTTCCAGGAAAGGCACAAAGCTACACAGAGAAACCCTGTCTCAAAAAACCAAAAAAAAAATATTTTAAATGCCATATTTTGTAGGTCTTTGAAGTGTTTGAAGATTGCTTATCTGAAATACATCTCTATATGATCTTGAAAACATACCTAACATGACTATAAATTTGCTATTATAGATGACTTTTAATCTGGATTTCTTAATTATATATTACATTTTTAAATGAGCTGCATAAACATAATACCCTAAACAAGAGTAGAAATATATAAGTATAACAAAATTAACTTTAAATTTTTATCAAGAAAGCAAAAATCCATACTAGTGTAAAATATATAAGATTAATAGTTGTTTTTTTGGGTTAAAGTAGATTCAATAATCTACCCCTTTTTTCTCCATTGTTTCTATATCATATCCCCTTTTGTTTTAAAAAGAGATTGACTAGGACCAATAACAATTTGTAACCAACCTCCCTTAAGTCAAAACAAACATTTATAACCAATATTTTGGGAATGTGGGTATAGTTCTCTAGGCTACTTCCTATTGATTGGGGGTGCTAATAATCTTTGGGGGGCCCTGAGAAAATTTAGGATTATGGTCAAGCCCTAACTGGAGTAGTCTGTGAGGCTGGCTCATCTCAGCTAGCAGCCTTGAAGCTGTTCTGATGCAGAACTCAGAGAAAACTGCAATAGAGGTGCTCTGAAACGCTGGATCATCTGGGCCATTCATTTTTATTGGTGTCTGGTCCCCTTGTTCTGAAAATAAATAAACTTTTTGTTTGTTTGTTTGTTTTGTTTTTCAAGATGATTTCTCTGTGTAACAGCCCTAGCTGTCCTGGAACTCGCTCTATAGACCAGGCTGGGCTTGAACTCACGGAGATCCACCTGGCTCTGCCTCCCGAGTGCTGGGATTAAAGGCATGCACCACCACCGCCCAGCAATATATAAACTTTTAAAGGTAACATATATATCTGTATTAATATAAATATAAACTGTATTGTACACAAGCCAGCCAAAGGTAATTTTTTGTTTTATGTTTGAGCAGCTAAAATATACATCACGTGTCTTGTATTTACTTTAGGTTTATTTTTCCATGTCTGTAGTCAGGATTTTCATGGGTCTTCCTTAATCAAACCTGATCTTTCCGAACCTGGAATTAATCCA